CGATCGAGTATTTTTATTTTCTTAAAAGTGAATAGGTAATCTTATGACTTAATGCATCTAATTGTTACATTTACTACTTTTTCTTTCCCTCAAAATAATAATTTTAATTAAGAAATAAAACTAAGCATAGTTTACACTTTATTACTTAACACTATATATAGTTGGAAATCGATAAAATCTGGTCGTCTGGTTCAAAGAATTTAATTTTCTGGTTAATCGTAATAGATTTCCAATAGTCTATTGAAGAATATAGATTATTATCGATCATGAATAAAATTCATTTGAATTAAATTATTGCTATTATTATCCCATCACATTACAGTTCACATAATTCCAATTATTATTTTATGATCAAAACAATTATGAAATTAACGTAGACAAAAATGGGTAAATAAAACAATGAAATAATTTTTTAATAAAATCTAAAAATAAATTTAAAAAATAAATCACTAGTTTGCTTAATTTAATAATTATTATTTACCGACAAAAAAATTGCAAAAAGATGTGTATAAGAAGATATTCTGTTTTATCTAGATAAAAAATAAAAAATAATCTCTACTTTATCTAGATAGTCCCAACATTAATTGTACAATATAATATGAAAATCATATTATTTAACAGTCATACTTTATTTTACTAGTATTTTTATTTGTGTAAATTATTTTTAATGTTTTTAAAATTATTAAATAATAAAATATATTACTAATGAATTTGATGAACTCGATGGTTATTATAATTTTCTTTTTCATTTTTAATTGAATAATAAATTAAACATACTTACATTATATCAATGGTTTCGTAATTGAATAAAAAAAGAAAATAAACGAATTCAATGAATATGTAAAATTAATACTATTAAAAATGTACCTACTAAAGCATCTTTTCTACAAGTAATAGTATATATATATGTGGTTCGTAGAAAATTTAAAATGTATTTTATGAGAACGTGTTTTTCATTTTTTTTCAACGATAATTTTTTGTTAATTATTTGCTTTGTACGTTTAATTTTGGTATAGTGATGCAAGAGATTTTCGGGTAAAAGTTGTATTTTATACTTTGAAATTATTATTGAATGAGACCCGTCATCGTTTGTAGCTTTCGGTGTCTGCTTCCTGTACTTGACCCGGAATAAAAACTGCGTATGTTTCCTTTTTTTTTATTTTTGAAAGGAAAGTTGTTTTATGAAGTAAAAAAAAACCACTTCGATAAGAAAAAAAATTTGATATAAAGAGAATAAAAAGGAGAGAGAAAGAAAAAAGAATAAAACTAAGAAAAGGATCATTGAGAGCATGTCATTTCCCTAACACGGTGGGAAACCCGTCGCTACGTTTATCTTTGACAAATCATGGACGTGCGAGGAGAACGGAATTGAGAAGAAACCGAAAAAGGGGTAAGCAGGCCACGTGTTTCCCTTGGATTTATTTGCTACTTTCTGTGTTTATTTCCTTTTCGACTATACCATATATGTACACAGCGTTCTCATTCTTTGACATATTATTCAGAGTGCGTACAAAAACATATGGGTGCGCGATGGGGTGGGGGGATTTCGTGTACTTAGTAACAAAAACGTTCTAGTTCCGTGCACGCAGGTTAAACTGTAAACCGGCCCTGTGCAGGTTGTGTGCGTCAAAAGGTGGTAAAATTTATATGGAAATGATCTAACGGTGATATGGGTAATGATTGTAGCGAAAAAGCTGGTGTTTATGTGTATTATATTATTAATTCGATTTAAATTATGTTTTTTTTGGCCATCTTGTGTTAGCGAATTTCGTCATACCCAATATTTTTTATATACATGTAGTAGACACCCTTCTGGAATGATATATCAATATTATTATTTTTTTTATCAAACCAATGGTTTTTAGTTATTGAAAATTCAATTAATTTTCTTTTTTTTTTTTCTTTGTATAATTAAATTGGGAATACAAATTCGGATATATCACAATCAAGTTACACTATATATTAATTTGAAAAGTGTTTTTATGAGATAAATCTTTAATGTTCTTTTAAAATAACTTAATTAAATAACTAACATAAATAATACTTGAAAATAGTTTAATCGTAGTTTTACTATTTCGTATGGACAATATTTAACTTCGTAATATGATCATTATAGACAAGATACATTACTTACATATTACAATATATACTTGTCAACAGAATTTAAAATTTTTGTTATGCTACATGTACGATACGGACATTGAAAACGCGTTTATCTTTCAATGGATGATCTTGAGATTTGAAAATAAATATCATAAATACATTGCATTGTGGATTGTTTTTCGTCAGCAATACGACTGATATTATGGAATGAAGTTAAATTAATGAAACAGTTGATCTAACAAAAAGTTACTGGAAGAAACGGTAAACGAAATTATCTCTTACTTATTCCGATTTTGGAAATTTAGTATTTTAAAATATAAGTAATCGATACTAAATTACATTAATTTCAAGTATATAATTATGTAGAATAGTACAAACTATAAGAGTGAATTGCATCAAAGATTCAAGAAATAGTTTGAAACAACTCAATTGGAAAATTAAAACTCGACTTATTTTAATATTTTGTAAAGTTATTTGATACTTGCTTGTATTTAATAAAAGGATTTATTGTATGTCTATTATATATGTGATATACAGCTCTGTTGGTATTTTATGTATTTTACATTGTTGATGGTTTTGTAGATGAGAGAAAGGGAAAAACAAAAATTGGTACTACATGAAATTTTATCAATAAGATATAAAAGACCAATGAAGTTACAAACATAGAGGGAAAATATTGTTTTGCGATTTGTTTAGTTTTAAATAAAATATGTGTTTTGCAGTAGCTTGGTATAGAAGTATTTAATTATTATCGCTGTTTGTCTTACTCAAATACATCAAATTCACTCAGAATTTCAGCAACGGATTTAGTATAGGATATTACATTTTTCAAGAGTGGATGGACTAACATGTAGATGTATCGGAGATCTTTCATATATTAGCTTTGAATATTAATTATTCAATAGTCAAAACGAGTAAATTATTTTAAAGTTTAAATTCGAATGTGAGAAATAGCTATACGCGTACTTCACTTATTCTCTTCATGCTTTTCCTGCTCCGTCCTCTACCTTGAAAGTATTTAGGATTCAATGTGTTCACTTATACATAGCAACGAGCATTTTATTACAAATCCACTAAATTTTTTTAGTTACAGTGATCATACTCTAATATCTTTCTTCCAGTTTATTCCAGATTTGTTCTTGTTATTGTTAATTACATAAACGCAAAAACTACAAATTAGTATTTATTACTATTTAAATATTCGAATATTATTAAGTAGTGACGAGTAGATGGTTAATTTGAAATTCTGAATATTTTGTTATTGACTACCTACTCAAACAGTGAAACAATTTATATTACTAATAAACTGTATATAATTATTAGACAGAGTGCCCAACCGTCATGGTTTATACCTAATAATATTGCATCGGACCTGACATTGTCGATCAAATGATTATATCATTGATTATAACATTTTTAAGTCATTATATGACTAATTTATTAATTTAGTATAAGCATAAGTAATAGTTGAAGGTTTAAGATTATTTATTTAGGAAGGTAGTATAATAATACGAAAAAAGCTAGAGGGGAAGGAATATATCCACTCATTTATCCTTTCTGATAACCCCCGGGACCTGAGTCGATGACCTTAGCGCCATAAGATGTTTACAATAATCGAATATGAAATAAATCGACATGTGCTATACAAACTTACGTATATTCGATATTCAATAGGATGATAAGAAATAATAAATTATTATTATTTTGTTCATATATTTGAGTTGTTTTTGCTAACACAAATACTTCAGTACGCTTTAGTTATACCCTAACGTGATATTGTGAATTTATTATTCATCACACATTTTCTTTAAACTTAAATGTTAATTTGTTAATTATTGTTTACATAATATTTATCTGTAGGTAGGTAAATGGTTCATAGCTATTGTCTTTAATCATGTTCGTTTATTTGGTTTTTATTCATATACCTATACGACATAGCATACCTTTTATAAATTATATGGTATATGTTACTTTTTATAAATGATTAAGTCGAGTATTTACTTTAGTATTATTATACCTTGGTCGAATGATATTATTTTATATTTGGTACAAAAGTACACATTGAATATCACATAACATCAGTATATGCCGTAACATATAATTATACACCCAAGATTGTTCATATACGACAGTTATAAATTAATGTTTTTTGCTTTTTATTACCTCTTGGGTGTAGTAAATATTGGTAATTTTTGGTGGAAAATTGTTTTTTATTTATTATTGTGGTGGAATAAATAACTTCTAAATCCCTGTGATAACAAAAAATTCTGTGGTATGGGTTCGTGCACTTATGATGTCATAAATTAAAATGAGTTATTTTTATAAAAAAAAGTAAAAATGGTATAGAGAGATTGGAATGTGTAAAACAGGTTTTCAAAGACAATTTTTATTTAAAATTATTTTTAAAGATTTAAAATTGAAAAAACGTGGTAGAATTCAAATTGGCAGCGAAATAGTACTCGTATTATCGTTTTTTTCTTTTTTTCTTGGTTATTACTTCTATTATGATGTTAAATAAGTATATATATTAGAAAAACTTAGCATATAAGGTATATATAAAATAAGGTATGATTTAATTATATAAAATATATAAAAATATTAATCGTTATCGAAAAATAAGTTCAAATAGTCGATATGAAAAAATTGTGTATTTTCTTCATGACTATGAACAAGCTAATAATAATTAATGTTATTTTTATAATAAATCAATTAACATATTAATTAGCTTAAGAATACTAGGCTTGTATGTTAATTAGTTTTCAAGTAATCCAAAATAAACATAATAATGTGTGAAATAATACAACGTTTATTAAGTCCAAGTAAGACACTCAACCTTTTATTAAATACATATTAAACTGGTAAGAATAATTTTTAATTTCTGTGATTAAAATTTTTACCTTGTATATAAGTGGAATGTTATATTTTTATTTGGACATGTATCTTCGCTGGGTTCTATGCAATCTTTGAATTTTTTGAATCCTGGCAAAACACTTAAGAAGTCACCTTTGATTGGTGCTATGCAATACAAAAACCACACTGTAACATAAATATTTTCAAATGTATACTCAGTGATTATTTATAAATACCATTAATTAATAGAAGCAAAATGTGTTTCTTTTATTATTCCTATCAACTTAAAAATGGTAAGTATGATGAAGAGATTTCTAAATATTTTTGGGTTTCTATACCATATTTCGCATACTACTATTATAAAAAAATAATAATGTTTGTATTTTTGTAGAATGATATATTGTTATAAATTTTCTATGTTATGTAACAACAAAAAAAAACCTACATAAATGGTGTATTGATTTCAATTTTTAATTAAACTATATTTGTTGAAGTTTATACTACAATAAAACGGCTCAACTTTATACATTTGTGTATTTTTGAAGGATTATGCTGATAATACCAAAGTTGGATGTTTGTTATTGATAGTAATAGTCAAATTAAGTTATCAAGTCATTGCATCTATTTCACTGTTATTCCATTTATCTTTCCTGAAGTCTCAACAAAAGATTTATAGTTAGAAATGATTACGTTAAGACTAAAAATATAAAATAAATTTAAATGGTAGTAAATTATTTTTGTAAGGTGTGATCAAATGTTTGAACCATAACAGGAATTTTTCTTAATATTTTTACAACTTTTTAATTTTTTTAGTATAGAAACTCGATAGCTAAAAAAAGATACTTTCTTAAATATTAGAATAAAATACAGTCATATGTAAAAGAAGTGTTTCGATATCAGAGCATATCTGCACTAGTATTCATCAGAACTTCTAGATCAGCGGTCGCCAACCTTTTGGACCTCATGGATCACTAAATACATACTCTAAATTCTACGGACCACTTTTAGCTTAAAATAGCTTTTTACATAAATATCGTTAAATAAATAGATGAGGTGTTTTTCCGGTCATATTTAACTTGTTATTTTAATTGTTTGCTGCAAATGGATCTATTATCCACATAATACCATGTCTACGATTTTATTTTTTTGGGAAATAATGACAAAAAAATTCTCTAAGTAACGTTTAAATTTTTCTGCGGACTATCTAAATTTTCTCGCGGACCACCAGTGGTTCACGGACCACCGGTTGGCGACCACTGTTCTAGATCACGTATACTATGTTAAAAGTTACATGATAAGTGGTAAAAATATGCAGGTAAAATCCACTGTTTACTAACTTCAAGACATTGATAACTTATACGAATACATGTGCTACCAAGATGCATAACATCAATTCAGTTTTTATCAAAGAAAAAGTTTTTATTTATTAATTATTGTTTTTTCAATATCTTAGAATAAAAAATGTAATTTCGGCGTAACATTCTAACCTGGTACTTTTATTATATTTTATGGAGCACACTTTATTTAATACTTAGCCATTTAGTTATTTACGATCGGAATTAAAAATGTAATTATATTGTTTTATTAAGTAATATGTTTATATTTATTTTATATTAATATTTTTTTCATGTAAGAAAATTTTATCTCTGAGCATAAAAGCGTAACTTTATTAACTAGTAAGTGATGACGTGTAATTGGAAAATATAAGAATATTTTTAAACAAATAATCACATATAGTACTTTGCGTGTAAGTTCTTTAAATTAATTATCCTCGACATTTTCTATTAATAACTAGTTATTAATTAAGCTATCTAATTTAAAATATTTTATTGTAAAATTAATATATTCATATTTTTATAGGTATATTAAAGTCTAAGTCATGCTGCTGTAATTTATTTACATTTTAAAATTTAATGAAATAATTTAAGGTATTTTGGAATAAGCATGTTGTTACTTTTACTTTTTTAGTTTTTATATTAATTTACTCTCTAGACTTTTTAAATAAACGATGAGAAAAATAATTTATTTTGTTTTTTTTATTATTTTGAAGAAATTTCAATTTAATATTTTGTTGTCAAAAAGTGTCCAGATTAAACTTGTTAAATACTTAAAAACTGGAAAAAATGTTTTCACATATCTAAAACTATTTTCAAGAAATAACAAATGTTCTGGATATCAGACAAAATAGTTGTCTAACCTCGATCAAGGCCATAACAAAACGAGGTCACCATTATTTGGTGGTTTTGTCAGCTTAATCAAATAAACTAGTTTGAAATGATTTATGATTTGTTACTTGAAAAAGGTTAGGACATATTGTTATAATTTTTTCATATTCTCGTAGACTCATTCGAAGGCGCTGTTATTTTATGTTAGACTTATGAAATTAAATCTTACTTCATCATTTCCTATTTTATTTGAAAACCGAAGAAATACAGTAAGGTTTTATCATTCTAAACACATCCTCGTTCAATGTCTATCTTGCTTCCTATAAGTTTCTATAAAATCGTATTTACGTCATAAACAGGGGCGGAACTAGGAGGAGGAAGACGGGGATTTAACCCTCCACGTAAAATTGTAATTTTTGTAGTATATAATTTTTATGAATTGTTAGTTTGATATTTTAATTTTGTTACTGATAATGTGTTTAAAACTCAATTAGAATGATTGTATGCTAATTATTAGAAAAAAAAAAATTTGCAGGGAAGGAATTTCTTGGTTTTTGATAGGGCGTAATTTTAACAATTTTCCCATGCGTAAAAATTCTTAGATCTGCCTCTAGTCGTATACAGTGGTGTAGCCAGGATTTTTAAATGGGAAGGACTAATCACTTTTTTGGATAAGTAAGGTAAGAGAGGATATGATAATTCACCCTTAACCCCCCACCTGTTATTCGTTAATCATCAAAATTTAGTTAATACCAAAGGTTTAAAATAATTAAATAAAAATAGTAGTTTACTAGTTTAGAATCTACATAGATACATAATACATATAAATACGGCCCATGGAGAGAGCCCCTTAGCCCCCCCCCCTCGGCTACATCACTGGTCGTATACATCATGTTTTATACCAAAGGTGGCCCAGTTTATGAAAATAATTAATTCGAGTTAAGTTTAGTTAAGAGAACACAAGATCGATAAATTAAAAGTTTCAGTTAACAATTCATAAATTTCACTCGATAAGTTAAAAGTTAATAAAGAAAAAAATAGTAACTTAACTCAGTTCATTAGTATGTATATCACATAAAAAGTGACTGCGTTCTTTAAATAGATCTAATTTCCTAAATTATATTAAACAATTGTATTGTATTTTTAATATATAGCAGTGGCGCCGAAGTGTTTGAAAAATACTATGACATTGTACATTAAAAGGCCACTCATTATCCAATTTATTTATCTTTATAGTTAAAATTCTTTATACATAAAATTCTGTATTTACGGCCAGAACCCAATACCCATAAGTGGGCTCCCAACCTACAAAATCTAATGCGACATCTGATGTACACTGTATGTGACTATACACATCTCAAATTAATAATTTAACAAATAGTATTACTTTTATATTATATAGCAATAGCAGTACCTATATCTTATAACATCAAAACAATACAATTTGTAGTTTATTTTTTTAATAAAAAAATTTTCAAATGCAACTCGCATGATAAATAATAATTTATAACTAGTCCTTTATAATTATATATATATATATATATAAAATAAAAATATAAAACCTTTAAATATACATTTTATTTGCATGGTTTATTTTTAAACATTAAAATTTTTATCATATTTAAGTATCAAGGTCATTTTAAAATTTTAATTATAATTTTTATATTAATAATTATGTATAAACAAAAAGTTTCAAAATTTTTTAATTTGATAGATCATTTTTAAATCAATTATAAAAAGCTAAGTTATTTTAACTTCGAATTAAACTAGTTAAGTCAAAAATGTTATTAGAAAATAAACTACTTAGTTAAGTTAAAAAGTTAAAAAAAAATTAACTTTTAAACTAGTTAATGCCCACATTTGTTATATACAATATAGATATGTCCAACTTTAAACGTAATTTGATTGCATTACGTAAGTGAAGCATAATATTTATTGCCTATACTATATTGTTGTATAATCCAGTGAATCCAATGATTTGGGCACATGATGCGTGGAAGCGATGTAAAGATAATTAAAACAGTAATGTCTTGAAAACCGATGGGTAAGAGACCACGAGGACACCCGAGAAAAAGATAGATGGATGTAGCCGAGGAAGATTTAAAAAGGATAGGAGTAAATGATTGGAAAAATATAATACATGATAAAGAGAAGTGGCGTGAAGTTGTGATGGTGGCAAAAACTCTTGTAGAGTAGATTAAGCCAGAATAATAATAAGAAGAAGACTACATTGTTGTAATTTATTTTATTTAACTTAAATTTTCTTTAGTTGTTATCGTTTAATGACTACAAATATTTTTTAAATTATATATATCCGTAATACGTGTTGTAATACTATTTGGATGATATTGAAGTTTACCCAAAGGAAAAATATAATATAAAGCATGCAAATTAAACTTTTTCGAATACCGAGTTTGTGATTGAATTAAGTAGGTGTTTAAAAGTGTAAATGGGTATAATAATTACAGTATTTTTTTTTATTACAAAACTTTATTAAAGCAAACGGTTTAGTTATTGTTTTTAGAAAAAAAATTTTTCATTCAAAGTTGGTGTGTTACAATCATATAACCATAAAGAATTTCAAATTATATCAACAAAATGTATGTTTTAACCAGAGAGCACCACAGTAACTGTAATATTTTAACATTATAAAATAATTATTTAATTAAAAAAAAAAATAAAATACTACATAAAGATTAAGAAATTTATCAATTAAATCTTCAACTTATCAAATTATTGCATACACATTTTATTCTTAAATACATTTTAAACTATTTGTGCTTCAAAATTTGCTCGTAAGTGTATACATGAAATGTTCGGAACGAACAAATTTCCACGACAATGGTCTTACTACGTGTTTTGTATTTACGTACATACATGAACTTTACATATTGTATTTTATCATATATGTATCGCAGAGAACATTCAGTCTAACGTTCTTCAGGACGCCGCACTAGTAGTCCAAACTTTCTTCTGTCCCCATAGTGAACTATCTTTTCTTCATTAAGTAATATTCCGTGA